TATAAATAAAACATATGACGAAACGATAACGAATCAACAATATTACAAATATACAGTGAAGAGTTACACTATGTGCAGAATTGGCATGATAAGAGAAACCAGTCCATTACAACTTAAAAATGACGGAACTTAAAACATAACATGTTTTGTTTAGATTTAGAGTAAGTAATGGATAATGAATTGAACACAAAAAAATAACATTATAATTTTTATGAACAACTCGAATTTACATACCCTGCCCAAATTTAAAGAAATGATCTTGGCATTGCACAAGGTCATGTTTTTCTCTGACTGTTAATGACGTCTTTACACTAAATCCATTGGATGTTCGATGTGTACTGATTGATATTTTAGTCTTAGATATATGATTTTTTAATTAGTTGTTATTGGCTTTGAACTAGCTGTCAGTAACTTCGAGTACTCTCAGATCTGTACTTAGTGTCCTTTTTGTTGTTAGGGATGAGGGATGGATAAATACCCTGCCACGTCCACGTTTGTTCTTATGTTGTGCTGTTACACCACTGTCCTAGGTGAGGGGAGGGTTGAGCGCTCAAAAACATGTTTAACCCCGCCACATTTTTATGTGCCTGTCCCAAGTCAGGAGCCTGTAGTTCAGTGGTTGTTGTTGGTTCATCTCTGTCTTATTTGTGTTTCGTTAATTTTTTTGTTACAAATTAGGCCGTTAGTTTTCTCAGTTGAATTGTTTCATATTTTCATATCGGGGCCTTTCATAGCCGACTATACCGTGGTGAACTTTGGTGGATAGTTGTCTCATTGGCAATCATACCTCATCTCCTTATTTTTATATATAAAATACTGCCTCTTATAAATGATAGTGTATGGTTCTTTATTTCTTAATTTGTTTGAAAAACATCGTCCAATCAATTAACAATAGCCACATAGGAGACGAGAAATATAATAAAATATATTATCAGTAAAGACAAAATTCGACTGTATACTTTAAAAATTTTAAAACTGAAGATGGACATTAAGTATTGCCTAGAAAATAATTATTTCAAAACTGAAAATGAAGGCAAGATGACCGTAGATGAATTTGGCTGCATGCTTTTTAATGTGCCTTTTGGTCAGAAAGCTCTTCACTTATTTACATCATTCGCTTCCGGATGTTTGAGTTTGAGTGTTCCTGATAAAGGTAAGCTTACCCTTCCGGAGCACCTGAGATCACCCACAGTTTTTGGTGGGGTTCGTGTTGCTTAGTCTTTAGTTTTCTATGTTGTGTCATCTGTACTATTATTTGTCTATTTGTCTTTTTATTTTTGGCCATTGCGTTGTCAGTTTGTTTTCGATCTATGAGTTTGACTGTCCCTCTGGTATCTTTCGTCCCTCTTTTAGAAAAGCGCTTCCGACTCATAATAAAAACAAATTGTTATTTTCATATTCAAACATAACATTTTTTCCTCGAGATTTGGGGTAAGTTCTTTATTTCTAAAATAGCCGCATTTCTTGATTTGTTTAAAAAAAAATCGTCCACGCCAAACAATTCTGTACCAGGCAGAAAATATAAAAATTCATAATTAATGTTACATATAGCTTCCTATTGTCAACTATCCTTTCTAGGATAGTAATAAATCCTAGTATTCATCCCCTGCATATCAAGTGCATGTATTTCAGTTGATATAAAATGCCTAAGGTGTGTTCATCTATATGAAGACGTCAATATTATAAAGGTGTTTACTTAAAACTCAAAAGATATCATCAAGGTTGAATAACTCAACACAATACTTTACTGCATTTGCGATCGTCAAATCCACAATTGACGGCGGCAAATCTTCACAACTAAAGCACTGCCATTCCTTAACTGGTTTATCATTACTTTGTCCCGGTGTTTCAGGCTATCAGAGACATGTTTATTCTGTTAAAAATCATAAGCATCGGTATCCTGGATGAAGGTTTGACACCTGCTATATTAGAAAAGTTTTATATTATTAAACGAATATTTTTAAGGATTTGTATTCCGTGAAAACTTGATCACATGCACATTTGTAATTACTCAGTTTGCACGCGTCAATACTGTTGCGTTTAGCTAATCGTAGGTCAAAAGCAGCTTATTGCACAGGGCATACAGCATGTTACTAAAAATACAGTCTAGAAATCCCCAATTTTACATTGTTCATGCACCAGTTGTTGATTAATAATATAACAATTATAGCCTTTGGTTGAGGCCAATACGATGTTATATCGACCCAGAGAAGCATATCGACTTCGGACTTCGTCCTCAGTTAATATGCTTCTCTTAAGTCGATATAACCTCGTATCGACCTCATACAAAGGCTATAATTTGTATATTATTGCACGACGTTTGATACATGCAAAACAGAGGATAAGAAATTTGTTCTCAATTTATACGTATTTGCTGAAAGGCAAAACAGAACACGAGAAAAAATAAGAAGAAAATAAAACCCAATGTTATATCGGTATAGATAGCAGTTTTGTTGTAGGAGAAATATGTTTCTCGTTGCGATTTGCTTTGTTTTAAAGGTGTACCATATGTTTTATTTTCTTGCTCATAATTAGAAAAAATGCAGAAAACATATAAAACAAATGGTTGCAAAATCTTACTTTTGAATGATAAAATATATTTAGAATTTTATAACGCACGTATATGCTCACAATATTGTTTTTAAACGACTGTTATTGTAATTTTATTTCATGTTTATATCTATAGATATGAATGAATCTTGATTACTTGATACCTCAATGTATTATATTCCTATTTTCATAAAGTAATGGTAAAAAATGAAAACAACACTTCATAAATTAGTTGCGTCCGAAGCGCTTTTCTTGATTTATCTTCACCAGGAACGCCCAAAGCAGATTGTTTGAAAGCCAAGGATGTCAAAGAACCGAAACAGTTGAAGAGCTTTATGACTTCACAGGACCTTAAAATGATAGCCAAATCCATCTTAGGTCAACTTTGTCTGAGAAGAGTTGAAACCTTAGTCCCTTAATGATTTATAAATTCATAAACGGACAATTTAGAAAAGTTGGTTATTAATCATGTCAGTACCGAAGTACTCACTAGAGAGATTATGATTACCCTCGGGGACTGATAAGACCACTTTATGGTACCTTGAATTCAAAACTTAGATTATATTATAAATCTATCAAATGCAATTTGTTCTAAGGTTTTTAAGACAATTTTTTTTCAGATATTTGTATTTATATTTTTGAATTGTGTCTAACATTATAAAAATAAGAAAATGTCGACCTTTTGCCAATGAGACAACCATCCACCAGAGACCAAGGATCAGGATGTAAACAACTATAAAACTCCTTCAACAATGAGTAAAAGCCTTTGAAAAAACGTGAAACAATTCAAAAGAGAAAACCAACAACATGATTTATGCTAAAACAAACGACAACCACTAAATTACAGACTTGGGATAAGAAAAAAAATGTGGTGGGGTTAAACATGTGTGTGAGTGTTCAACCCTTCTCTAACTTGGGACAGTGGGTTATCAGCACAACAGAAGAACAAATTTAAAAAATTTGACGGAAAATGTTTGACTCATCAGATCCGCACTTAGCACACAAAAATACCAACAAAAAGAATGAAAACACAAGATACCGATGTAAGAGTACTCGACATTTTTGCATTTAGCTTCAAACGTATGCATGCATTAAATTGCAAAGCTGCCGAAATACTAGTAGCCTAAGTTTGAGATTTTTTAGAACAATATACATATGACCAAAGGCCGTAACCTTAATAAATATGCTACTTCAAAGTGTCTTTCATAAAGATGTTCATATGAGTAAAATATCTATAGGACCGGATCCAAGGGGGTCCACCTTGCGGATTTAACTGTTTGATAATCTTTTATTGGTTGTTATAAGAAATTGCCACAAAAATTCTTTCTTTTTATAATGTTTCCTCTAAAAGATTTTGATAAGAAAAACAATTACATTATCATTCTTCTACAGTGGCAGATTCTAGATTTATCATAAGAAAAGGAGAAAAATAAGGGGCAACAGTAATGAATCACAAAATCACGTGTGATATATCGTAACTCTGGACAGATAACTTTTAAATTTGCATTACGCTCGGCAAGCCTCTTTTTTCAGTTTGAAAATTCAACTGTCTCGAGAGGAGAAATATGGTTGCACACTCAATGCAGTGGTAGTCTCTATTTACTGAGATTAAATTCACTTTTGATTTTTCTATCAAACAAGTCTTCTTTATTTTTAATTTTATATTTTATATTTATGTAGTTGAAAATATGTTTGATGAAATACTATGTGTAAAATACCAGGTCGATTGAAAATCAATATTTTCAAAGTTCATTTTTTTATGCAAGTATAATATTGCAATACACATCTTGAAAATACATTTTCAGGTCCTTCAAAACAATTCATAAGACATGCAGCTGCCGTCACGTGCCTGAAGTTTTTATTATTTGCATCTGCCAATAGTGAACCGTCGACGTTTATACTAAAAAAATTTTATGAATGGCAGATGTCAATTATTCATTGAAAAATTGCAATATTTTTATATGTTTTATGATTTTATAATAAATTTCTTAAGAAAGCTATATTTTTAAATACAGATGGTAGTTTAACGATAAACAATTCAACATTAAAAATATTGCGATTTTTTTTTTAAAGATGATTAAATGTAGGATGTTTACAACTTATGCAATATTATTAGAGTTAAATGATATATTAGCTTTCAACTATATTGACAGATCGTAAACTTGTAAATGTGTGGGTCATACCTGTGCAAATACCTGACATTACATAGGTAAACATTAGTATCGATCTACAATTATAGAAAGGAAATTATTATCATTCTTTGTTGATTCCAAGTTGATAAAATAAATCGTATTGCCCTTTTGTTGTTTTCAAATAACAATTCTACGGCAAATTGACAATAAACATTTGGACAATGACATTCGATAAAAATAATTAGATACGCGAATGAGATCATCATTAATCACCCGCCATTGATTTTTCAAACTGACCAATCAGGTGACAATATTACTATCACCTGGGTGTTACTTTCCTATTTGAACTTTCGGTTTACACAACGTTGTTAAAGCAATAGTGAATTGTAAACTAACATGCCCGTTAGATGGTAATGGAATTATAAATTGCTAATAATTGGAAAAACACATTGCGTCTATTTAATGCACCAGAAAATTACATAAAAGAGATGGATGAATTTATCTGATTTCTTATTAGTAAAAGTAGTGTATTGGAATTTAACTAGCATGGAAGTGGATGTATCATAGAAAATAATATTGGATATAACTCTATAGCACTGGAAAAATATTCAATTAACTGAAAATATTGTGACAGGTACCCTTTGACATTTGGTCAAGTACTATTTACATTTTTCCTATAAATTTATTTTCAACACAATGGATGATTTGGGTTCGAGTGATGGTGATTCGGACTGTGATAATTTTGAAGCCCTTTCCCAGACCAAAGACCCATGTTATAGATGTGAGAAGAGGGTCTACCCCGTAGAACGTGTGGATATTGGTGTTGTATTCCACAGACGATGCTTTAGATGCCGGGTTTGTGGAATACAGTTAACTCTGAGGTCTTTCCATTGGGACCAGGAGAACAAGCCCGATGTTTACTGCCAGGCCCATATTACCAAACTAGTTGGGTCCATAGATAAAGATTGTGTAGGCATTAAGTCAGCATTAAATGCACCGAAACGTGGACCCAATTCAAATGAACAGGTAAGTTGCTATTTTCATATGAAAATTTTGTCACATTGTATTTTTAAATTTTGGTTATTTTTAGCAGTTTAAATTTAGTTTGTTATTCATCTGAAACAAATATAATCTTTTGTACACTGACATGTAGTTACTAGTTTGTGTACAAACACTTAGGCCAGATTCAATATCTACTGTTAAATAATCTTAGCATCAACATAGTTTGTAAAGTAGCTTTCAAATAGGTATAGGCAAACACAAAATGTAGAACATTTCTTGTTCGTAAAGTGGCAATCAGATAATAAACATCAATATGTAATTATTGATGTGACCCATGCTACAATTTGAGCAAACATGTTAAAAGGCAAAATGATATCGTTAAGAATCAGCATTTGGACTGCAATTTCAAAAACAACATTTCATCTTTGGTATTTCTTGATTCGTTAAAAAGAACCCAGCCATTTAAAGTTGAGCGTACGTGCAAGGTGAGTTAAATTTAAAATCAGACCTGTGCGCTAAATATTGTATATATACTTAATGTTGTTAAACTCCAGAACAGCATCTTTGTGATGCTAGTATTGGTTAATACGTTATACATATATAATAACCTTTATCGTTGTTTATTCAACACAACAAAATGTGTATTAAATGATGCAATTTTCTTTGATATAGCTCAAAGGTCATCATGAATTAAAATCTTTAAGTCTGTAAAATTCTTACTTCAAATGGTCTTCATTGATTTCGTTTTGTTTTATTCGTTGCAAGGACGTATATTAGCTATAAATCCTTGTTTCGTGGTAAAAGAATTAGTATGGCATATTGGCTTGGGAATGAGGTTCCAGTCTGCGAGGACATATAAAATATTCAAACGTTTTATTAATAACTCATTTCCCCAATTTTCTCGTCCGTTTGATATTATTAATTAGATTAACCAGTTAATAAAAGTGATACACGTCTCATCCATAACTTCAGCAATAAAAGCTGACTGGGAACAAAGCATATTTCTCCCTGTGATCTACGGAACCAGACAATGACAAGGATTGATCAAACATTACGTAACATTTTTTGTTTGTCTCAGACTTAAATGAACATCATTTTCTCTAACAAAAAAAAAGTAGCTATAAATTAAACAGACTACAATTGCATCTGTTTCATTTTAAGACACTCTGAACATTACAATGAAATATTTATTATATGATGAATATTTGATAAAATTGATGAAGAGTTTATTTTTTTTGCTGACACAAAGTCAATTGGATGTTTTGTATATTATTTTATTTTGTTTATAGAGTTTTCTCATCTACATGTACATGCATCATAAAAACACACTTAAGATTTTTTTTCAATCTATTGACATATTTGTTTTGCGTCGTCAAATAATTTTCAAACCTTACCAGGCAAGCACTGTTAAAAAACACACAATAGAAGACTATATGCATATCAACAGTTTACCCCATTTTAATGTGACCTACCGAATAAAGACTTCAACACGTATGTGCTTACATGAGCAACACGACGGGTGCAACATGTGGAACAGGATAGGCTTACTTCCGGAGCACCTCAGATCACCTTCGTGTTGTTCAGTCTTTAGTTTTCTATGTTGTGTTTTGTATACTGTAGTTTGTATTTTGGTCTTTTTTTTGCCATCATGGACATGGCGGTGTCCGTATATTTCCGACTTATGAGTTTGAATGTCCCATTTGGTATCTTTCGCCTCTCTTTTTTAAGCATCAAAATAAATTTTGTTCAAAAATAGTTTTTTTTAAGTCGAGTATTATACATTACATATTTATTGTTTAAACCTAACTTTTATTTAGGACATACTGTGACTGAAACTCGAATGTCCTTTAAAAATAATAATTTCTAGTTTTTAAAAGATTTTCTGAAATAGTTTGTGTGTGTTTGGCCTCAGGGCTTAAAGTTAAACTTTCGAGTACGATTATTATAGCTTTTCCTTGTCCGTCATCTTATATCAACGTTTTTGAAATATAGACATGCGATACAAATTTGCACTGCTCACGACATGACCTCATCAAGTACATGTATGCTCAGCTGGTGACACAAATTTGTGAGGCTTATATACATTCTCATAGGTAGCTCTTATATTGTGTTGTTACACCACCATCACAGGTTAGGGGAGGGTTGCGCGCTCACAAAGATGCACGTTTAGCCACCCACATTATTTGTGTGCCTGTCCAAAGTCATGAACCCTTTAGTTAATCCTTGTCGTTGATTGCTGTCTGCCATATTTGTTTTCGTTTATTCTTTCTTTCCTTAATAAGGCTGTTGGTTTTTACTTTTGATTTGTTTCACAATTTGTCACGCCCGGACCCTTTTGGGGTTTATGCTTACTATATGGTATATACTTTGCTCATTATCGAAGGCCGTACAGTGTCCTATTATTGTTCCCATCCTCGTCCTTTGGTCTCTGGTGGCTAGTTTTCTCATTTGCAATCATACCACATAGTCTTGCTTACAAAAAAGACCAATTTTGCAAGCTTGAGGACGTTTCACCTTTTTGTTTTAGTACAATTAGATAATTAATAAATTAAATCATGAATCATTATAATCAATTTTGAGACACTCAGTGCAATCAAAGAGATATATGTATTTATCTAAACTATAAGGATTCGTTTCGGTTCGAAAGACGTGACAGAAGGTTTTCGTATACTCAGTGACATCACAATAACCATGAACCATTCCAGTACAGAATCAAAAGCATGCATTCATCAATATTAATTAAGCCTTTTAAACGATAATCATGTTCTATTTGCTCAGTTTGACACTGAGATATTTCAAATTATATATACCGAACCTTAAGGTAAATAAATCGATCAGAAATGAAGAAAAAGGTTATGCAGATAGCGATTTTCCAACTTTTAAATGTTTTTTGTATTATATGAGTCAGTTGCGACACCTTGCAAATTTTCTGATTACTTGATTGTTTGCGGTTTGCTGAACGTCCAGTTGCAAATATTTCATGCATATTTAGGACGATACAGATCGACCACTTAGACACAGCGTCTTCGAGTCAAATTATAAAGTTAACCTTTTGACAGTCGACACTGATAATTAACTAATTATAATTGCACCTACTTAGTATGTGTAATACTATGAACAGTACATGGATTCCTGTAACCGACATTTCATTAGAACCGTCTCCGAATGGATCATAGAACTAGTGACGTCAAACCATTGATCTTGTTTTCTTAGTCACCCAGAAAACGATTTACTTTAATTCAGGTGAAAAAAATGTCATGCAAAACAAAACAAGAATGCCATGAGTCACAGGTGACAGTGTCTGAACAAACAGAACATGATTATGGATAAAAGAGAAAATGCTTAATTAATATTGATACTTGACTACTGACAATTCTGCACTTAAATGGTTCGTGATCATTAAACAAGAACTGCCAGCACGTGTTACGAAACCAACCAAATCCTTATAATAACTTAGATTAATTAATGTCACAGAGCTAAGATAAATTATGGTTTCTATGTCGTTGTTCCACTTAATGATGTTATGACAACGAGTGCGTATTAAATCCTTCTGCACTGATAGTCGTAACAGATGATACTTCAGATGAAAACGATGCCCAGTTACTGTACTTGGAGAGATAAGCAGGACCTGTCCTATATAAGTCCTAACAGCAATTGTATTAAGGATTAAAACCATGACTCACTGTTTTCGCCGCAAAAAAAGATAAAAATCTTCACAAACGTGTTTTTGCTATACCGGCTTTGAATATGCTTTTTATAATAAACAGACTTCGAAAGTCATCGGTTTGAAACACCAGATGGTTTAATTTGTTGCAAAAACAAGAAAACATAAAAATGGCGATGGAGATTTTAAATATTGATAACAAAATTAATACCTTTATATCTTCTTCTGAAAAAGAAAATGTTTTCTTTTGTGTTAAGGCCACAAAAATATCTTCCTGTGGCCGCTGTGTCTCGAAGTCTGACTGCTCTTCAATTTATTTACCAAAGCGGAAGCAAAAGATAAATATCAAACTTGTACCAATCTTAAATACAATACAATTTTTTTTGTTCCGTTTATGCATAAATGGCAGTACATTATATTACGTCCTAATATAGTTATCAACCTGTCATTTCATATCAGAAATTAATCAAACTGTTGGAAATATAACATTAAAAAAATGGCGCAATAACATGAAGTTTCCACAACCGTCGCTTAAATTATCCAGATCTGATGAATTTTAAGATAAGAGTTGATTGAGCTTTGGTGGGAGAATTAAAATCAATCTGTTATAATTATCGCATGACAGATCTTAAATGGAGTTAAGCTCTTAATGACTCGGTAATGAGACCCAAGGTAACTGACACAAATAAAGTTACGCGAGATCTCGTAAACATCCATAACACAAAAGTTATAGAATACATTTCTTGCAAACGATAATTTAGTTTGAAATAATGCCTTAAAAGTTCGCATTCAAACCGTTATTTTCAGAGATAGGTGGGAGGACAGATATCTGTTTTCTTCACATGTAACTTAAGAAAACTTAGAAAATATGTGACATTCTTCCAAAATGACACTGAGCTTAGTATCATGCTTATGTAACACGCAGTTTAAATAGAACTTGCTCTTTAAATACAGAGGCGGATTTGAGGGTCCCAGGGGGTCGGGTCCCCCTTATGGAGCTACATATTTGGTTAATGAATACCCTTTATACATGTCCCACTCCAAACGTTGCTCCCTTTTCAAAATCCTGGATCCGCATCTGAAATAATTGTATTTGTGTTACATGGAGCTGTTATCTGTCCTTATCATAAAGCATAATAAAGCATAAAAGATTTATTTAAAATCGGGTATACATATAACAATACAACATAAGCTCTGTAGAACTTTCATCCGACATACATATATATGATAAGCACAAGACATAAATTAAACACATAAAGCAGTAAGCACATCATGCAAAGCATAAATACTTGTATCAAGCACAGCAAATTATAGCATATAAAGTTAAGAGGACGTGTATTGGAAGCAATTCGAGACAGGT